GGCAACCTGTGCCATCACCCCCACAAGGAGGAATTCCTTCCCAATATCCCATCTAACCCTGCCCTCTGGCAATATAAAGCCATTCCCCCTTGTCCTGTCACTCCATACTCTTGTCCAAAGTCTCTGCAGCTCTTCTGAAACCCCTTTAGGCACTGGAAGGGGCTCTATGGTCTCCCCAGAGCCTTCTCTTCTCCAGGTGGAACAGCTCCAGCTCTCCCAGCCTGTCTCCAGAGCAGAGGGGAACACAAAGTTAGGCAGGGGAAGAAGACGGAGCCTCTAACACGTGGCACAGAGTCAGGCGAGCGCTATCTGAGCTCCCAGACTGTAAATACTCCTGGAGTGCTGTACCTGTGCCCATTGGGGTTGGAGACATGGAGACGCCTGTGTGGATTGGAGCCACGGGTGCTGTGTTCCATGGCCATTCTCCCTGCAAGGCAGAGCAGCTGCTGGGAGCTCTGACCCCACTTTGGGATGGGCTGTCATTGCTCACCGGCATGATACTGCTTCACTTTTCCAACTGCCAACTGGTAAACTTGTGAGGTAATAAAAAAAAAAATCCTCTAATTTGCAAAAATGCCACTAGAGAGCATAAATGTCTTCTTCAGGAAAACAAGGCCTTTCCCTCAGGCTCTGGGGAAGATGGCAGTCAAGCAGCTGGTGATCCATCAAAGAGGAATGATGCTGTGTGTCCCAGGAGAGAAAGTGCTTAGCAATGGCAGTGTCATTAGGCCAGTAGTGTCGTTTTGCATCCCAGGTCCCACCCTGGAGCTTCCAGGAGTATGCTGAGTATTGCTTAGGTCTTTTATTTCCTTCAAGTGGCAACTGTCTTAGGAAAATCCCAGAGATTCAACATAGTCAACACAATTGTTTTGTAACTGGGAGTCTGATGTCACTCTGAGGTGGAGGAGTTTCACCTGGGGTGATGCTGGGATGAGGCAGAGCTGCTGGGGACAGGGAGGACACATCCACAGCGTAGAGAAACCCCACTGGAACCAGGAGCAGGTTGCTCTTTGGACAGCTGTGGTCATCACAGGGATGTGGGTGCTGCCAGGAGAGGGGCCTGTGGCACCCTCTGCACTGTGGGGTCTGATGTCCCCAGAGTCAGCTCCTGATGGTCAGTTAAGGTGATCCCAGCGTGACCAGGGCAGCCCAGAGGAGGGCACAGATGGGAAGCAGTTCTGGTTCTCCAGAGCCACTTGCAAAGGATTCAGAGCTGTGTGCCCATCGAGGGCAAGGCATCTCCTGAGCCCCCAGTTTTGCTTGGCTTCTGCTCCCTCGCTCCAGAGGGATTTGGGAAGGGTGGCAGTTCTCTGTGCATTGATGGAGAGTGGGTCTTTTTGTCCCTCACTTGTCACTTCTCTGCTCAGGCACAGCCTCCTGATGGGGCAGAGCAGGACCTGCTCCTGGCTGGCACCAAACCTGGCACTAACCCTGCTCTGAGCCACTCTGGTCCCTGAGCACTGAGTGTTGTACAGGGAAGGAGCCTCTGTAACAGGGAGCTGCTCACCCAGAGCAGCTTCCAGCCGTGAGAAAGGAACGAGAAGTCTGGAAACATTCTGGAAAAAAAAGGTAAGAAGAAAACAAATTGAGAAAATACATTAAAAAAAAATTTGTCCAAGTATAGTCAAGTGCAGATTTTGCTTTCTGCCATTTCTTTTGTCCAATATAAAAAGAAATAATAACTTCTCCCATCAATATCAGCATGGTGAGTGACCCACAGAGACCTGTACAGGTGTGGGTCCCTGTGTGGCAGGAGCCCATGCTCTGTCTGGGATAGCTGTTGGTGACAAGCTGGGACAGGCTGGGACAGCCAAGGGCATGAGGCTCTCTGGGACCAGCCAGGGGGGATCTTGCCCCATGCAGGGCAGAGGGGGTTAAAATGTCAATCTAATCTAAATCTTTCATTTGATTTCTTAAAAGGCAGAAAATATTTCCTTGTCTGCCTCACTGGGCTCTCTGGATTGAAATGAGCTCTGACAATTCATTCCCTAAAGCTGAGGCTGACCTGGGGCAGTGCCTCAGGAAGGGGCTGAGCTCACACAGTGGGGACTTGGCAGGACAGCCTTTGTGCCTCATACCCTTGCACAGCTGTAGGGACTTCAGCAGAGACCGAGGGCATCGCTCCTGTTTTCCTTATATCCCTGCCAGACCCCAGCCAGTGTCTGGTGCCATGTCAGCTCCTCCTGTGAGCAGTGATGGGGGGAACCTCTGTGGCACGAGGTCACAGAGGATGAGATGGCAAGGTCCAGGGGGTCCAAGTCCCATGTGTTCCTTGGAGAACAAGACCCTTTCCTATGGGAGCTGAATCTGCCTTCAGATCCTCGAGAAAGGAGCTGGGGTTTGCTATTTCCCAAGCCCTCTCCCATCGAGGAAGTATGTCAAACATCACAGGTAATAGGGATGCAGTGAGAACCATCATCTCTCTTTGCATCGTGGAGTCAGACTTCAAAAACCTATTTGGTTTAAACTGTTATCAAACTCAGGATGTGCTACCCAGGAGATCTTGCAGATCTGGCCATAAGTTTAAGGAATTAGTATTACCTTCTGTTTTTGGAAAGTGTGAAGGACCTGGTGCTTCCCCCCCCTCACTGCACCCTTCGCTGCCTTCTGTGCCTTTGCTCACCTGCCATGTCCCTCTCCCTCCTGCCCTGCTCGTGCTGCTCGTTAGTGAACTGTCACCGCGTTATTCCAGCACTCTTCCTCCCGGGCCGGGGCTGTTCCCAGCACTCACCTTTAACTCTGCTCTCTTGCAGCTTAACTCTGAGAAACGTTCCGAGCAGCCTCCCCAGGTTCGTTTTGAAATCCTGCCTCGGGACGTTAAGATTTAGTAACACAGATTCTCACCTTAAAATAGCAGCACGAAATGTTCTATTTACTCATAAAATGAATGTCAAGTATGCAGCATCCCTCACCGGAGCAGGGGCCATACCGATAGTATCTGACAGACACAGGAATTTGGTGGAAAAAAACAATCCGCTGTTCTTCCTCCGGCAGGCAGCAGCCCTGGACAGCATTCCTGGTCCTGGGAAAAGGGTTGCTGCATCCAATTCCTCTCCTCCTTCCCCTCCAAGAGCCAAGTGCACTTTAATGCTTCTTACTTTTAAGAAAAATTGCCTTAAGCCCCGTGTGCGGTTGTGCCCTGAACGCTGTGACCCTGAGCTCTACCCGAGCCGGTTTCTTCGTGTGCTGCTTGGTCCATCTAGTGTTGGCTGAGGCTGGGGACAGCGTTCAGGCTGGATCAGTGTGCATACACCATTCCCACACCTGAGCAGCATCTGCTCAGGCACTGTGACACCACAGGGACCGTGGCCTTGCTCAGGAGTCACCAGGCACATTCACGTCCTGCAGATCCCAGTCACTCAGCTCTGGTGGGGCCAGCAGGCACCCCAGAAGTGACAAAAGCAGTCTCCACCTTTGGAGCTGCCAGTCCCAAACCTCCCCTGTGCCATCCCAGGAGGTTCAGAGACGTGTTGCTGCCATGGCATGACCCTGCAGAACATCTGTGCTGAGTTTCTCCTGGGCTATAAACCACAGCTGTGCCACTGCAGTCTGTCCCACTTGCTGTGCTGACAGTACAAGTGCACCTGACATGGCACAACCTCTGCTCCTCCACAGAGCTGGTTTAATGCTTTTTCTCCTGCTCACAGGCAGCAGCATGAACCTGAAGAAGTACCTGGTCCGGGCACTGCACCGCCTGCAGAAGGGTCCTGGCTATACCTACAAGGAGCTGCTGGTCTGGTACTGTGACAACACCAACACCCACGGCCCCAAGCGCATCATCAAGGAGGGGCCGAAGAAGAAATTAATCTGGTTCTTCCTAACACTGCTCTTTGCATCCCTGGTGTTCTGGCAGTGGGGGATCCTCATCAACACCTACCTCTCCTACAATGTCACTTCATCTCTCTCCATCGGCTTTAAGACCATGAAGTTCCCTGCAGTCACTGTCTGCAATGCCAACCCATTCAAGTAAGTTTTTCTTTGCCCAGTTTACCCTTCTGTGCTCCAATCCCTCGGGTACACTGCCAGTGTGAGGTACTGCAGGCCTGTTCCTGTCTCAGGCATCATGTTAGGAGCATCAATGGAGTCACCAAGCAGCACTAAAAACCAGATAAAGAAGAACAATATGAAGGCGAATGGCTCAGGGTTGGAGGAGGGTTTGTCTGCCTGTGAGTTCTCCTGGGTTTCATAGAATCCCAGAATGGTTTGAGTTGAAAGGGGCATTAAATCTCATCTCATTCCAACCCCCTACCATGGGCAGGGTCATCTTCCACCAGCCCAGGTTGCTCCAAGCCCCATCCAACCTGGCCTGGAACACTTCCAGGGATGGAGCAGCCACAACTTCCTTGGGTGACTAGTGTCAGTGCCTCACCACCCTCATTGGGAAGAATTTCTTCCTAGCACAGTTTCTGTACTATATCACTCAATCTAATGATGAGTTTTGCCTCCCTGAAATCTCTCCTTGGCTCATAAAAAACTCAAGTTCAGCTCACTTGCCACAGACTAAATCAGTTGTTAAACCTTTCCTTCCCTTCCTCACCATGAATGTCCTTCTTACTGCTCACACTCCAGTCATTGAGCTGGTTACACAGTCATGTGCACCAGGAGCTGCAGAGATAGAACTCAGTTGTGATTTCAAAGGAGTTGCTCTTTTTTGTTAGAGTTGCTTTAGAGTTGCTTTAAATTTAGAGTTGCTTTAAATTTGTATCCATGCAATAGCGTAGCCCAAGGCAAGACACTCTCAGCCTACGCAGGAATTGCTTTGGGGTAGTTTATCCTATGCTTGATAGAGAAGTTTTGTGTAAACTGTAGTGAATTAGTGAACTAGAACCACTTTAGCCCTGCGCTGGTAGGTTCACCCCCACAGCACTCACTGTTTATCCTCCTGCTCCCTTTCCACCCAGCTGCAGCCTGCTGGGACACCGGTGTCCAGGCTGGCTGTGCTCTGCAGAGAAGCTCCCACTGTCCTGCAGTAAATTCCAGGCAGTGATCTGAGGTGCCCAGGAAGGTCTAAGCCAGCAGTGCAGCAGGTGAGCTGCCATGTGTCTCCAGCACAGTGACACTGCCTGGGCACGACTCCTTGTCCCATAGGTACTCGGAGGTGAAGCACCTGCTGAAAGAGCTGGACAGGCTCATCGAGGCAGCACTGGAGAGGATCCTGCAGCCCACACCAGGGAACAGCAGCGAGAATGTGTTTCCACCACTCGACCTGCAGCTCTGGAACCAGATACCCCTGGTCCTCATTGATGAGCATGACAAAGACAACCCTGTCATCCTGGACATCTTTGAGACCAACCAGACTGCTGTGGGCAATGAAACCACTGCAGGCAATGAAACCATCGCAGGCAATGACACAGCTGGGGGTAACAGCACTTCTGCAAGAAATCAGAACCCTGTGGGCAATGAGACTGCCATGGGCAATGAAACCACTGCAGGGAACCAAACCACTGCTCCACCTCCCCCAGCCAACGCAACATTGGAGGAAAAGAAGTACAAGCTGGCAGTGAAGCTGGTGAGAAGGGTCCCAGGCAATGGGGAGGGGTGAGGGATGGGATGTGCTGGGCACCTCAGCAGGGATGCAGCATGGAATTCTGTGTCTCCTCCCCACCAGCTGCCCAAAACTGCTCTGCCCCAGGCTCTGACTGTGCTGGGACTGGGAGCCCCAGCCCCTTCTGTGGGCAGAGCCAGGACAGTGGTGCTCCACACAGGGTCCTGGAACTTTCACCTCTTCTTTGGGTCAGGTGCCCAAAATGCCAGGGAGAGGCTGTGGTTGCTGCTCCCTCCTCTCCTGCCTGAGCAGGCCTTGGAAGTTGGGACAACTCCAGCCTGAAAGAATTGGCCTAAAAGTGACATTTTCTGTCAGTTTGTGGAAGTCATGCTGGGACTGATAGAGAATTTGCCCAGCTGGGAAATGTCCCTGGAGAGAGATCCTGTAAGCAGATGCAGTGTGGCAGCTGGCTCACGGCTCCATCTGGCTGTACCTCACAATTCCTGGGAGCTGCCAGATGTGTGGGGAGGGGGGTCATGCTGTGGGTCCCCCTGTCATTCCCACCAGGAGCTCACACCAGCCTGCCCTGTATCCCCAGTGCAGCCATCAGGGCTCGGACAACTGCACGTACAGGAACTTCACCAGTGCAGCACAGGCAGTGACTGAGTGGTACATCCTGCAGTCCACATCCATCCTCTCCAAGGTCCCACTGCACGAGAGGATCCGGATGGGCTACCAGGCTGAGGACATGATCCTAGCATGTCTCTATGGGGCTGAGCCCTGCAACTACAAGTAGGTGCACATGAGCTCCCCACCCCTTTCCACCCCAGCAAGAATGAACAACACACTAATAGCACAGCAGGAAGGCTTATTTTCTCTTTTTAAGCCATATATCAGCTAATAACAAGATTGCTGCTGGTTCTTGGCTCTAGCAACACTTCCCAGGGGGGTTCTGGATATGATTCTGGCTGAAATGGGTTATTTGAGGACAGTGCTGGCTTGATTTTGAGTTTTGGATGGGCTGTTTCACTCATGACATGCAGAGACTAGCAGCACCCATGGGAGTTTCCCAGGGTGATAACCAGGTGCTGAGTCAGTACACCCTGGCACAGCAGCACAGCCCCCAGTTACAGCTCCCCTCCCTTTTTACACAAGGCTCTGAGAAATGCATTTTAGCCATCCTTGTTTCCTATGAACCTCAAATTCTTATCTCCAGTGCTGAGAAAGGGGAGCACACAGCAGCACCCCAGGCTGTGGGGAGCAATGCCCCTTATGCAACAAGGGCAAGAGAGAATTGTTTGTTATCAAATCACAAGCTATAACACCAGCCCAAACCTGGTACCACAGCTCAGACTGAGCAAATATTTCTCTCAGGGGTGTGACAGACTGTTCCTCTCCATCCCAGTGAAGTACTGTCTCCAGGGCCTGTCCCAGCACACACCTGTCTCTTGCTGTGCCTTTTTCCAACAGCAGATTGTCTGAGGTGATATCAGATGTAACTCCTGTACAGGTGTTCAGCAAATGAGCAGTGGGAGGGGAGGGAACCCCAGGACAGCTGCTCAGCACTGGTCCCACCAACTGCATTATCTCATTCCCCTTTAGTCCTCCTGAGAGTCACAGTGTCATGTGTATGATCCTTCCAGGAATTTCACCCAAATCTACCACCCAGACCATGGTAACTGCTACATCTTTAACTGGGGCATGGACGAAGAGGCTCTCAATTCTTCCAATCCCGGGGCCGAGTTTGGTAAGGGAGTGCTCTGCAGTGGAGAAGGGGCTGAAGGGCAGACGTGCGGGGGGTTGGTCTATCTCTTGGTGCCCATTTCTGTCACACACAACAGATGTATGACTTCTGAGACTCTGCATCACTGCAGCAGGGGCTTTCCTGATGACCCAAAAGGGAAATGTGCCACACAGAAACAAAGTGACCACAGATATTACATGTAGCAAAACTACAACATCTGGATAGTTGACATATCCGAGGCAACACCTGACTATTCCCAGCTATTCCCATTCACTGTCATTAGTGTTCTGCACATGTCAGACCCTGATCCTTCCCCAGGGAACAGGGAGAAGAAAATAGGCTCCATTTTTCCCCCAGATCCTCACATTCCAGTGCAATTCCTTGTCTGAGTGCTTTGTCTGGTGTCCCAGGGCTGAAGCTGATTTTGGACATCAGCCAGCAGGACTACATCCCCTACCTGTCCTCTGCTGCCGGGGCCAGGCTCATGCTGCATCAACAGAAGAGCTTTCCTTTCCTCAAGGATCAGGGCATCTACGCCATGGCCGGGACAGAAACCTCCATCGGAGTGCTGGTGGTATGCGTGGCATTCCTCGGGAGCAGATTGTCTGAGAATAATGTTATCTGATGGGACCAGAACCAAGTCTGCTTTGAGTCTTGGCTGAACTGGCTCAAACCAAAGGAGTCAGGGTACACACCAGCCGGGGGTTGGAACAGTTTATGGAGGCTTTTATGTAACTGTCCTGGCAAAGTGCTTTACTGAGGCCAGAATGTTGGGCTCAGGTCATTGTTGCCTCTTCCTCTGGCATGTCAGAAGGTGCCTTGCCAACCCTTGAACATCCTCACCTGCCTGGATCCACCTGAGGAAGGGGCTGCAGCCCCTTCAGCTCTGCCACCACTGACTCTCATTTTTGCCAGTGCCAGCAGGAACACAGAGCCTCTGGAAAATGGGCATGGGAACCTGGGGAGGAGCAATAACCAAAGTTTGCTGTTTGGGTTTCCTCTCAGGATGAGCTGGAGCGGATGGGCTATCCCTACAGCGACTGCACCATGAACGGCTCTGACGTCCCTGTCAAAAACCTCTACAGCCAATACAACACCTCCTACTCTATACAGGTAAAACACTTCTTGAACCAAACCAAACTGTTGAGGAAAAACCAGCAAAGCAGCTGAATCTTTGGCTAGCACACAGGGTACTGGGGGATCAGGACTGATAAATTAGGAATCAGAAAATCCTAGAGTCACCAAGGTTAGAAAAGACCTCTAAGATCATCATGCAAAACCAGGTTCTTCCATCACTCCCTGACTGCTCCAGACTCTTGTGAGCATTTACTATCACACAGGTTATCTGTTTTTCCTACCTGGAGCTGTTAAATTTAATTATTTTCTCATAGACTTTGCCATTGCTTTGTGCTGCCTCATCCAGAATCCCACTCCAGTCTCGGAGGATTAACTTCACTCCTCACCGAGCTGATGGCCGTGCTGCAGCCAGCTCCACGTGGCCAAAAGTGCAGCCACAACCCTCCTGGGAAGAGCAGCAGCTGCTCAGAGAGCTTTCACATGTCTGAAAACTGCTTTTTATGCTGATGGATTTGGAGAGTCCTGGCTTTAAAGTGTAAAACCAGCCCTTTGTCATGTAGAGCATGGAGAGCACAGCAGTTTCTATGGGTGTAACAGAATGTTTGTATACCGTTTTGGAAGCTGCGCATTACTTCCAGGAAGCCCTAAAATAGTTGAGACATTAGCGGTTTCTTATCTGAGTGGGAGAAGTGGGAGTTCCCTCCTGTTCCCGAGAAGTGACTCACCCACAGACAGCTCCCATGAGGATGGGCCTGTTTTTAATGATGCTCAGAGTAGCTGGAGAAGGTTCTGGGCAGGGACAGGCTCTGGCAGGCCCCACTCCCCCTGCACCTTCAGCCCTCTCCATCCTCAGCCCCAAAATTCAGTGCAATGAGAGGAAATTCCTGGGTGCCGAGGGGCTGATACCAGCAGAGGTGATCGAGGGCTCAGCCCAAGTCTGAGCACCCCTCTTCCCCCTCCAGGCTTGCCTGCGCTCCTGCTTCCAAATCCACATGGCTGAGATCTGTGGATGTGGCCACTACATGTTCCCTTTACCTGAAGGAGTGAATTACTGCAACAACGAGGATAACCCAGGCTGGGGTAAGAGCACGACCAGCACGGATTGCAGCCTCCCAGGGCTGGATGCCTAATGTTCATTTTGATAAATGAACTGATATCACCCAGTAAGCAGGTCCTTATCTAAACACTGACTTTGTTTTCACCAAACAGCATATTGCTATTCCTCACTGAGATCCAGCATCAAACAGCGACAGATCTGCATCGACTCCTGTAAAGAGACGTGCAAGTGAGTACCTGAGCCTCGTCTGACTGCTGTGGAGGTGGAGGGATCAGTCCTGACCTTCCTGAAACAGCAGTGAACACCACAGGTGTGGTTTGCTGTGTGAGAACTGAAGCTCAAGGACTTCAGAGGAGGGGAAACTTCCAGACTAATGCTCTCCCCCCTCCCTCCAGTGACACACAGTACAAGATGACCATCTCCATGGCAGACTGGCCGTCAGAAGCCTCCGAGGTAACCCCAATTCCTTGGTTTGGAACAGGCACATGGACACTCACTGTTCTCAGTGCTGATGTCCAGGTCCAAACACCTCTGCACTAAATTACACACACAAACCAGCAGCAGCACTGGGACAGGAGGCAGGAGAAACCCTGCACACAGCAGCTGCTCTGCCCTGGAATTCTGCTCCTCGTGCTGGTGTCAGTGCAGGGCTGAGCACCCACCTGCCACTCCATGTGACCGTGCGGTGCAGGGAGAGCTTCCCACAGGCCAGGGCAGGGGCACCTGCTGCCTTTCTGTGGCAGAGCAGCCCTCTTAGGTCCACAGCACCAATTCCTCACCTGCTTCCAGGGCCAGGGCTGCCTGGGATGGGACACAGCACCCGTGGGGTTCTTTGCTCTTTGGGAGCACAGGATGCTTCTCCTCCTCCTGAATAGATTTTGTTTTCCTAGGACTGGATTTTCCATATTCTGTCTTATGAAAGGGATATGTCAACAAATGTGACTCTGGACAGGTGAGTGAAAGGAGCAACCACTTTATCTTCTCTGCTGAGCCTGTTAAGATCAGACTGACATGAGCCTTGGCGCTGAGCCAGCACACACGTGTGCGAACGTGGAGGGAGGACAAGGTTTGGCACATGTTCACCTGGGAGATACAGAAAGCAGATCCAAAAAGCTCTTCATGCATGTCCTCTGCTCGCCAGAGCCACAAACTGGGTCAGGCAAACTCAAATGTGCAGTTAAGTAAAATCAGCATTAAGGGCAGCTCCTGTGTCATAACCTTCATTCCTTCGTCTTAGTGTCTGTCTGTCCTGTGGGCAGGTTGGAGCAGAGGTGTGAGACACCCACAGCCCAGTTCAACACTGAGCTCTCATTTGTCTCCTACAGGAATGGGATCATCAAGCTGAACATTTACTTCCAGGAGTACAACTACCGCACCATCTCGGAGTCGGCTGCCACGACGGTGAGTGCCCATCCCTGCCCTGTGCAGGCACAAAAGTCAGTCAGCTGGGACACAGGGGCTGGGCTCAGCTCCCTGCAGCCCATCAGCCCTGGCTGGGGGTGTCCCTCACCAGGGCAGTCTGTGAGTCCCTCGGGGCAGCTGCTGCACACATGTACTGTAAGGGAGCAAGTGAAGCCACCTTCACCAGCCAGTTCACAGCCCTCAGTTCCTTCTCCCCCTCCACCTCCTGTCCCCATCCCCAGGGAGCACAGCCCCACAGGGTAACACCTGCACGCAGGGGACTCGGTGGGCAGGTCCCAGGTGCAGGCACATCACCCACCTCAGCACTGGCACAGGGGGTGATCGATCAGGGGGCAGATGGGGGTCAGGCTCCACTGACTCAGCTCTCTCCACTCTCCCCCTGCAGATTGTTTGGCTACTGTCAAGCCTGGGAGGGCAGTTTGGGTTCTGGATGGGGGGCTCGGTACTGTGTCTCATCGAGTTCGGGGAGATCATCATCGACTCACTGTGGATCACCATCATCAACGTGATCGGCTGGTGCAAAGGCCTGAGGCAGCGGCGGGCACGGGCACGGTACCCCGACGTGCCCCCGACGGTGTCGGAGCTGGTGGAGGCTCACACCAACCTGGGCTTCCAGCACGAGGCTGGGGGTGCCCTCCCTGGGGACGAGGCACTCCCCCCCGAGCCTGGCACCCCCCCACCCAACTACGACTCCCTGCGCGTGCAGCCGCTCGACGTCCTCAGTCCCGACAGCGACGCGGACACCGAGTGAGCAGGGGACCCGTCACCTCCTGATGGTCACCGTGGGCCACATCACTTGCCAAGCAACTGCCTACTCTCTGTCAGACTTAGGAGGGAACTCAAAGCCCTGGCTGTCCTCCCCACTGACTGCTCGCTGGGAGGGAGCTCTGCCTAATAAACCCTGCAATAAACCTCACAGTGTCAGGCTCTGGCTTAGTGTATAGAGCTTACGTATACCAGGATTGCTGTAGCATCATGTCACCCTTCCTCATTACCAGGTGGGTGAGAAGCAGTTCTCAGTGAGCAGAGTGGGGACATGGCAGTGGTGAGGTGAGGGAGAAAGACCTCACAGTTCCACCCCCTACCATGAGCAGGGACACCTTCCACCAGCTCCAAGCCCCATCCAACTTGGCCTGGATCATCTCCAGGGATGGGGCAGCCAGAGCTGCTCTGGACAACCTGTGCCAGTGGCTCAGCACGCTCACAGGGAAGAATTCCTTCCCAATATCCCATCTAACAGTGCCCTCAGGCAGTGGGAAGCCAATGCCCCTTGCCCTGCCACTCCAGGCCCTTGTAAACAAGCAGCGAGTTCACCTGGCCCCTGTTCAGTCCTGGCCCCCAGCTTTCCCAGGAGCCCATGACAGCCCACTGGGATTGGTTTTACCAAAGTACTTCTGTGAAAGTTCAAGAGGAAACACGATCGTGCGGTTAAATCACGCGCTCGGGAACACGATGTCCTGGGCACGGCGCCCAGCGTGGGGCAGCTGTCCCGAGGGGGGTCCAGGATCCTTCTGCACCTGAAGCTCAGCTCCGAGCACAGGGTGCCCTGGGGCTGAGCTGCTGGGCAGAGTGTGCTGAGGCAGTGGAAGGGGTGGAAGTCACTGACAACCACGATCAGCAGGACAGGGAACTGACAGAAAATCTGCCAGCTGAGCTGCCACCAGCATGGCTGATGCTGCCCCACACTGAGGAATTTCTGTTCAAAATTCACTGAACTCAGATTCAGGGAGCACCTCCTTAAAACCTCCACACACTGCCCTAGCCTCTTCTCCCTCAGATGGTTCTCACCTGAAGGGAGAAGCTCCAACAGCCCCCAAACATGCTGCTCCGTACAGAACCACCTCACCCAGGTACAGCCTGAGCTCAGCCAGCACCCGAACCAAACTGAGCAGTGACAGGGGTCAAGAGGCACTGGACACTTGTAGACAGAGGAACCCACTTCTTGCAAGCTGTCACAGACTTTTCCTGCCCAACTCTTCACTTCCTGACTCCCTTTAGGGACACTTCCCCCTCTGAGCACCATAAAGCCACATCACAGCCTCCTTCCCCAAAGGAGAGCTCCGGTAACGTGATGGCACTTCATCCCACACTGCCACTGAGCATGAAACAAGGACCCAGCACCCTCCCCTCCTGATTCAGTGCTCGGTGCATGCAGTGTCACCATTCACAAGGGCCTCCAAAGGATTCTGCAACAGTGAAAAAACAGCATTTAACTTAAAACATGGAGAAAGCTGAAAACAAGAATCTGAGTATCTGCTCCCATGTTCTCACCAGCAGACAACAGGTCCCTGGGGTGGACAGCAGGTCCTGGGCTGCTCCTGCAACATCTCACACCTTCAGCCCCAGCCAGGTGCCTGCCCTGGGCCACTTGCCCTGTGAGGAGCAAGAGCAGCAGGCAAGGAACAGCCCCAGAAACCTTCCCGGCAGTGATGGATGAAGGGGAAGGGTGAGAGAGGCACAGTCAGTGAGGTTCACCCTCCTCACACCAAGGGTGAAGGGAACAGCATGTTCTCTGCAGCACAGGGATAGTCACCATTCCAGTCACTGCTGGTTTGTGGAGGTATCTGACAACTCATAAAAGTGGGAAGTGTCTCAGGTGTTCAGCTCAGCTCCATTCCAGCCAGACCCACGGCAGACCTGAGCCCAGCTGAGCAGAGGGGATTTCTGCTGCAGAGGCAGTGCTGAAGGCCTGGCTGGCATTCCAGTCTTGGGACCTCTCTGTATTCTGCCCAGCTGTCTCCCAAGAGAGCACACTGAGGCTGGGTGAGATGTTGTACAAAGACCTATGTAACTAACAGTTACAAATTCTACAAGAAAGCACCACTTCAATTCCTTACAAACTTCACAGCTTTCAATAGAATACTGAAATTGCACCAGGAACAACCTACAAAGCTGGTTTTATTCTCAGGGTCGAGCTTGATCAAGCCTCATCTGCTAAGTGAAGAGACTTCTTGGCTCTTTAATAACAACAACCTTGAGAAATGGCCACAGCCTGCAAGCACAGGAGCTCCCAGCCAGCCCCTCTGTGCTGCACCCAAATATCACCCTAGATACAAGAGATTATACTTTCTGAAACAGCCACCACAAAGCACAAACTCTCCAGCACCCAACAGAACATTTTCAGCACTACTCAGGATCATCCGGAGAGTTTTTGGCAAATTTGGCTGTAGGACATGTTTCCTTATGTCTAAAGATGGAAAAACAGAACAAGCTTCTCCTAGACAAAGACATTTATTAAACGTTAGCGTGAAATAAATTCCCCTAAACCCCAGAGATATTTTCACTGTCCTTGCAGAAATGAAAATCAACATGAAGAGGTGAGTCCTTGAGAGGGGCCAGGAGCAGGGAGGGCACAGTTAACCCTCCAGGCCCCTCGTGGTAGTGATGCCAGTGGCAGGGAGGGCACAGCTCACACTCCAGTCCTTCATGGCCATGGTGCCAGTGGCAGGGAGGGCACAGCTAACCCTCCAGGCCTCTCATGGCCATGGTGCCAGTGGCGGGGAGGGCACAGCTCACACTCCAGTCCTTCATGGCCCTGGTGCCAGTGGCAGGGAGGGCACAGCTAACCCTCCAGGCCTCTCATGGCCGCGATGCTCCCGACCATCCGGCGGGGCAGGCTCTTGGCAGCCTGGCGGAAATCCTCTGGTTTGGCCTTCAGCAGAGTTACGATGCTCTGCAGGGTCCGTGAGGGCTGGAGGCCGAGGGCATCCATCACGTTTATCAGGTAATCTGCAAGATTGAGGAAAAACATGTATTTAACAGGTAACAGACACTGAAATGAAAGACATCCTTGTTCTCCAGGACATCTCCAAGTGCTCACAGACACCAGCAGCATGGTCACGGATCTCACAGCACTGCCTGGGGTGTAGTTCTGGCTGCCTGTGCACAGCTTCAGACACTGCCTGTTCTGTGCAGAGCACCGAGACTCCTTCAGCCACACTTTGGTACCCGCACACTACATCCTCAGGGTGGTCAGTCACCCCAAGCACAGGTAGAGGGCAAAGGGCTGGCACTGAGGCTGGGCAGCTCTGCCGAGGTGCGTGGCTGTGCAGGCAGGAGGCAGTTCCAGCTCACTGACCCACAGGCAGCTGGGAATTGAGGATGGTGGGGAGAGTACCAGCCTCTCAGCCACTGCCTTGGTTTACAGCAGTGCCAGAAAACAGACCCAGACTGAGTTCACTGACATCCAAGCACACCTTCTGGGGAGCTGAGCAGATACTGGCTGTACCCTCATTTTCGGGCTTGGGGGAAAGTCAGCATCCATGATTTACAGCAGGACAAGGACTTGGTGATCCTAAAAGCAGTTTTGGATAAGGAAAGCCCATGTCCTCCACATCCTGCAGAAACACCTCCCCAACACCTTCCACCAGCCCCTCCCTCAGCCACTAGCTGTGGCACGGGGGAAGGCAGAGAGGAGCCTACGCCAACTCTCTCCCATTTTGCTGCTGAAAATCTATCCCTGTTGAAAGTAACCTTAGCTCCCAGCACCCTCAGAGCAGCAGGGCAGAGTCAGTCATGGCAGGGGAGCTGACCCTGGAGGGTTTGTAAACAAGGATGCTGCTCAAGTGCTCCACAAGTAGCTTCACAAGACCTTTAGCTGATCTTTCCCACTTCAGCTATCAAGAGGATGGAAGAAATGAATCAGCTGCCTCTGTAATCCACTGGAGCACCCTCAATAGACATGGCACATGTCATGTACCCCCTTTCCTGGAATATCTCAGCAGCACATGACACTCTGAGAAGGGGAAGAACAGGGCCATAGTGGAAAAAATTCTACACAGTTGGAAAAGATTCTATGCAGCTCCTTCTCACTAAGGCTGGCCTAAGGAATCCTCTCCGTGCATGAGGACTTGAGCTTCCACAGTCACAAAGCAGCGAAGCAGCAAGAGTACCCACTGGAAAATTCCCCTTCCCTCAAGAGGGACATGACAGAACACTGCAAAAGAGAAGCTATGACTCGTATCAGCTCAAGGTGCTCATGGTTAGAGGAAAAACCCCTGGGGCAGTGGTAACAGAGCAGTCCATGTGTGACACCAGCAGTGCTGTGTGCCCTGTGCTCACCAATGTCTGTGGAGAGCTGCTTGGTGGAGTGTAGTGTGAGCTCTGGGATCTGCAGGATGACCTCGCAGTACGTCTGCATCGTGGCCCTGGCGATGGAGCCCAACCAGTAGTCAGCCATGTTGTCCAGCTCTGGCAGCTCATCTCCTGCAGGGACAGCTCTGGTTAGTGCCAGCACACACACAGCTCTGGTTAGTGACAGCACACACAGAGCTCTGGGTAGTGACAGCACACACACAGCTCTGGGTAGTGCCATCACACACAGCTCTGGTTAGTGCCAGCACACACAGCTCTGGGTAGTACTGACACACAGAGCTCTGGGTAGTGCCAGCACACCACACAGAGCGTAGTGACAGCACACACACAGCTCTGGGTAGTGCCATCACACACAGCTCTGGTTAGTGCCAGCACACACAGCTCTGGGTAGTACTGACACACAGAGCTCTGGGTAGTGCCAGCACACACACTCACACACAGCTCTGGTTAGTGCCAGCACACACAGCTCTGGGTAGTACTGACACACAGAGCTCTGGGTAGTGCCAGCACACACACAGCTCTGGTTAGTGCTGACACACACAGCTCTGGGTAGTGCCAGCACCCTCACCTGCACCTGCTGTTCTTGTATAAAACACAACCCATAACAGCTTTATAATGTCTTTACTGTTCCTCACACAGAACATCAAGGTATTCAGT